TTTGTAAATCGACTATTCTTTTTCCGGGAAGCCTTCATTCTTCCAAGTTCTTTCAATAAACTTCAGTCGATAGTTTGCGCTTGTGCTGTCCACTTATTTTTTGTCTCCTCCCTAACTTCGTTTTCCGCAGCAATCGTAGCGCAATTTTTCTCAGTCGATCAAGTAGTGACCGTTTGTGTATTCAAGTGTAATTCTTGTTCATCGTACTTACGGACAGAAAGCGTTTACACAAGCGAAAATGTCAGGCTGGTAAACCGCATCAGTGGGTCGCCAAATGTGACGTGCGCCATGGTGGAGAACATTATGCGAAAACATGCCGCGTAAGTATAGGCTCGCCTAGTTGTTTTAGCAGATGCCATGGCACTAGAGTGCAACATGCTGCCTGTAGCTGCCTGGACTGGGAAAGGCTGCTTAAAAAGACAGGGTGTGCAAACGCGGACACAAGAGAGACACCACAAACGGCGTTAAAGTGTGCGTTGCACACAATAACCTCGGCTCTCTGCCACTTCAAGTGACAGGCTGCGCCAGACTCGGAGAAAGCGTTCTGTATCTGCCCCGATAAAAGGCACGCGCAGCAAGGAATAAAAAAACCAATTGTCACCGACATTTTCCTGGCTTAGTGAAATCTATTGACATTTTTGTTTCAGGCTGTAAGGTGTCGTCCCGCGTCACCCTTGTTTTGCAGTGCGAGAAAACAATGAGCACAGCTGAAAGTAACTCATTTGAAGTGGCGCAATACATCTCCCATGATTTGAAACCAATAACAGATTTATCTGGTGTAATGCCAGCCAAGGTGTTACGTTCGGTTTTGCATCATGTTCGTGGTCACTTGTCTAATTAATTAACGAACGACTGCGTGAGAATGAGCTTGCTCCAGAAACACTCGCGCTCACTGTGTCGGCGATTGGTGTGGAATTGACGCCATATTTACCCCTACGTCGTGTGAATAGGTGTAGCTTGTACGGCTATCCATATGCTTCGTTCTACGGATTGGCTAGTGGCTGCAATTACGATGTTTTATTTGAATACAACGAGCACCGAACGCGCCAACTTTGATAGGGCATTTGCCCACATAGTGGGGGGACGCATGTAATTGTCCGGTCACACATGAGTGCTGACCGCAGCTCCACAATCATGTGGCAAATCCATCGTAAACATAATAACTCAAACTCTCCCCGTTTACTCATTAAAAAAAGGGGAAAAATCATAAACACAGGTGTGGCATCGCGGTTTCTTCGCTTGTGTTCCAGTTCTAGGTGTTCTCTGATTTTCTTCCTCTTCCGAAGTGAATTCCATAGGCTGCGGAACATAGTGATGACCGTCGACGTGGCAACAATCGGTGTCTCCCTTCCTTTCCTTTCCTCACCTTGACTGCTCACCTCGAGAAGTTCTGATTTCATTTTCGTACACTCCTGTCGATATGAGCACGTTGGACCTGCCTGTGTTGGTGCTGCCGCCGTCATTCCAGCATATGCAAAATACTACTGAAGAGGAGCAAAAACTACTTAAAAAAAGACTGCAGTGCAGCTCGTTTACGTGAACGATCGAGACCTACATCGCATACCAAGAGCTGACAAGACCGAAATTCTGCGAAAAGTAGGAAGTATACTTTAAAAATTACTAAACCATGAGCAACTGCAACTAATAGCTTAGAGCATAAAAATGTCACATTGGTATTTCTAAATTCGAAATTGTAGCTTTAATCTCTTCGTTATAATTTTAAGAATATAAGTTTCAGTATGGTTTGTTATTCTTTGCATACAATGAATGGGATCAAAATAAGATATGCAGACAAAGTTCTCAAAGTCTACATCTGCAATGGCAATTTCGTTATAGGTTGAGGTATACAATTTTAGGAGCATATCCGCGACTATTTCATACTGCAGTTCCGTTATTCTTTAGCCTTGTAGTTGAAATCTGTTGTTAACTATTGACAGAAGTAATTGCTCGCCGAGATATTTTGTGAAAGAACGCCAATTACTTTATGAGGTTTTATTTTAGGTAATGCTGCAGCTTCATATCTAGAACATTGTGGGCTTGGTCATCTGCTCGCCCAGTAAGCTTTTTTTGCGATAGCAATTATATGGACAGTCTGGGCTGGTTTTTGCCCCGTCGCCGCCACCGTCATTCACGTATATATATATATATATATATATATATATATATATACTGGGAAGGATGCGCTAGCCTCTTTTTTGCAAAGCGAACATCGCCTTTCTAGCTGGGCTCGTCTGCGCGCGTGCTTATCTCGCCAGCGAAAAGTGAGGGGGAGAGGAGGGGCGGGGGGCTTACGGTTGCCGCGCTATCGCAGCAACGATCAGCGCGTGCCAACGGAATGCGGTCTCAACCCGAAAAAACGGTGCCAATAGTCTACCTGGAGCGGCCGTGTTCGGATCTAAATGAGTTGACTGCCAGACTCACTTCGTATATCAATGCCGTCACTACGCACGAGCTTTGTTGTGGTCATCTACTGTGGCCGCGCCGCAGAAACCTTGGTTACTTAGCAAGCGCGCGTGTTTACTACAATTACTATTGCTCCTACAAATTTGAGCCTTGCTTCGTAAAACGTTCCAATATGTTGCTATCGCATTCATTGCTTCACCCTTTTGCCAAACTTTTGTCTTTTTTTTTTCTTAATGGCACGCATTCTCAGTTTCTGTCGATTATCTATATGACAAACTTCTCAGAAGTCAGCTCAGTGCGTCAGTCATTTGCTAGGAAACAATCGACAGATAGCGTCATATTAACCGCCCAACGAAAAAAAAATATCTTGCAGTGCCGGTGCCACTAGTGTCATCGCATCTTCTTTCTTCGTTTCTACAGCAGCCAATAAAAATAGAGCATTTATCGTGAGAGCAACTGTTTATTATAATATAAATTACCGTGGAAAACATGCCGCACTGTAAAAAAAAATTGTAATACCGTCACGGCAAGCTTCAAACTATGGTCTGCCAAAAACAGTGAAGCTCCAGTTCCGACTCATTCAGACTAATCTATTTTCATGGAGCGTGTACTAACAATGCATTTAAGTTCTTAAGTAAAAAAATAACTCGCTGTATTCCTGTGATTACGACGAATATTGGTAGTGAACCGAATTGTTGGTGAAGAGAAACGAAAATTCTCATTATAAATTTTAATAACTGCCTCTAGGACTAGGCTTTCCTTTTTGGCTCACTGTTGATAAACAGTTGTATGGCGTGACAGTATGCGAAAGCGCAGTTATGAGAGTTATGCAGTTGCAGTTAGGCATAGGTAGCACCTTTGTACGCCACTCAACGCTAATCGCCAAAGGGCACAAAGCAAAGGTCGTCGCAAATGTAACTTGCCCTGAGGTAGCCCAGTGACATATGACAGCGTCTTTCTATCCACCCCACCAATTAGCCTTTTCTGCACTCAAAAAAAAAATTCTGTGTGAGCACATTTCATCGATTCCGCAGTGCTGGCGCCCATTGTGAAATGAACTTCTTGGCGCGTAACCGCCTTTTGCTCGTTTTGTTTGAAATTTGAAAATTAACAGGATTTCTCTTCAGCTTCACACCGCCATTTATCCTATGAACCCCACTTCTGTAAAGGAACGGTGGTTCATTACCTTTTTTTTTCACACCACTTTCATCAGCTTGTATTCGAACCTTGTGTCCATATTATCTTTGAGAAATTCAGGTGGAGTGTAACACTGACGAAAAATGTTTTGTTTGATAGCTCAAGGTTATGAACAGAAATTATTTTGTTTAAGTGGGGGGGGGGGGGGGGGGACGTGTATTTTAACACAGACACGACAAGTGAACGTATGACTACGACCTTATCTTAATCTAAGAGCTTTACACAATACTTGGCTCAAATTTGGCCAGAACCAGGAACAGAGAGAATCATATGCAAGCCTACCCTGTTTTCTAATAGGTTTTCTAACACAGTGCAAGCAGATTTCACTCAAATTATGCACAACATTGGCTCTTTCGCGACAGGGATGATGAACATTTGTTTTAGCACCCATAAAGCCTATAAACAGGCCTCGCTAAGATTATTAATGATTACTTGCTTGTTTACCCAAATGTATGCGTTTTGGAACTAAACAGAGCCTTCCTCTTTGTTTCTTCGATAATCGCGATGAGAAAAGCATGGAGGAAACAGATCTGCTTTTCAGCAGCGTGAAAATGAATGCAGTGCTGGAATAACGGCTTGAAAATGGCGTCACCAGGGTCACCTGCTGTACATGTTTTCTTCTTCTTTTTTCACACGTCTGCTTCCTTTTCACATCAATGATCGGTGTGTCCTTAGAACCTTGTACTGCACAAAACTCTATGCACGTTTCATCCTTTCATGCACCTGCATTGAGTCCGTCTGAGGTCCTCGATATGGTGTCACATCGTTTCAACTTCTGCACAGATGTACGTAAACTATGTACGTCTGACTTTGTTTTTTGTAGTTACCTGTATGTCACACACGTGCTGGTTTCGAATATCACGGTGTGTTGTTGTTTTTTGTTTTGTTTCTGATTGTCTCCTTTATTATTGCACCAGTACAACCCTCAGATACTGTGCATACGGGGCCCGTTTTCGCATGGTCTGCATCCAGCAGCTTATGGTCTCTCTGTGTGCACTGAGAGTGATCCTACAAGTATCAAACTATGCGTGGATAACTTAATCGAAACTCTTAAGCATAGGCACTTTGGCTTTTGAAACAAAAAGCTTAAGGTTCGTTGGCCTCACAGAAACTATAGAGGCAACACCGCATATTGTGTGCATGAACAATGCTTCGGCTCTTCTGCTCGCAAGCTATAGACGCACTTAACCTCGCAGTTAGTAGTGATCAGAGGCTTTTGTACAAACACGTGTGCTTGCACTGTTTACCGTCGAGCGGTGCCTCGTTTCCTCTCTAGTTGTGCCCAGTGTCTTATGTTTCGATTTTTTTCCCAGTCTCAGCATTACCCTATGTGTAACTGCAGTTGCCTGTTGCTTGCAAGATGAAAGCTTACACTGCCTTGTTTCTTTTCGTCGCTACAGCGGATCGTTTTCCAAAGGTGCTCAGTCATTTTTTCGGTACGCATATATTATTTATTGAATTTCTAGATGTTGTGTCCAAGCCGTATTCAGAAACGGTCGCGCGGTTTTGCTGTTCCGAGTGACAATGAATTGGTGTAGCGTCATTTTCGCGTCATTAAAAAATAACTGAAAATGAGTCATTGCAGAGAGTGCACGTTTTTGTGTTTATTCGTTATGTATGTGCACCGTTTGTTCACATTGCTTGCACTTCTGAGAACAGCAGTTTTAAGACCACGGGAGCTGTGAATTGAACTGAACGTTCTTTTCCGCCTAAGCTCGCAGCCTGAAATGGAGCAGCATGTCAAGCTGACTGCATCTCGAAGTTGCCGGCAACAGCTTTTACAGCTAATCCGCGTGATCTGTAAACTCTTTTTCCTCGGTACAACAATAAAGCGCTTCATCCTAAAGACATTTGTCGGCTACACGGTCGAAAATTGGAGAACGTGTTTAATGTTCCCACTGTCGTACGCTCAGACCAGACTTCAATAAACTATAAATATACAGGTTTCAGCTAACGATTGAGCGTAGTTTCGGAACAGCTTGTGCGCATAAAGGACAACACGTAAAACTACATAGCATGACAGGTGGCTTCTGTCCTGTCCTAAGTCTTCTTGTGCCAGTTATTTAAAGAACAACTACTACCAACTGGAGCCAGGAACAATGCTTACTTAACTCTGTTCAAAACGGAATGTAGAGGGAAAAAATAGCATGGTGAATATATTTTTCATCATTGAAGTATCTGACCCCAGCAGTTTATCGTGTCGTAAAGGATGATGTGCATTGAGTGTAGTAATTGTGTTTTATCATCATGCTTCTGAAGTGATAACACTTCAGGAAAACGCATCTCAGCTATTACCAGTCTTCTTTAATGAAACCGCATTTTGTGCGTTCACTATGCAAACTGTTTTGCTGGACTGATGTCCGGTCCTACCCACATTTTTGTTTCGTACACTACTCGCTTCACTTCCTTTTTGTGTTTGTTTTTGAGAAAAAAAATGTAAGTACGAAAATATTTTGCCATCATTTACTCTAATACTCTCTCTTAGGCCTTCAGAACGAGTCTGTCGTGCCTTGTAACACCGATTGACGTGAATAAGTGAATAAGTTTCCAGAATAAACTAGAGTTTTTTAGCTCATTCAAGATTTCACTCACTGGCACAATTACGCAGAAATGTGTTAACAATGGCGTTTTAGCGATTTATGGTCCAAACGTTCACATGTTTGATGTCTTCATTTGCTAGTAAATAGTGCCTAAATTGGCTTTGAAAGCCGACCAAAACATTCCCTTTCCCGCTCTCTAAATAAACGTTAGTGCACCCGGCTAAAGCATTGACCTTCATTCATACATCAGCAGCGTGGCTTTATGCTTTGCTCTTTCTGAGAATGTGCATGCATGAAACCTTACTAAAGCTCGCAGGAACTAAAATGAAGTCATGCATTTGAAGATATATATATATATATATATATATATATATATATATATATATATATTATATATATATATATATATATATATATATATATATATATATATATATATATATATATATATATATATATATGGCTACGACGAGAGTACTAAGACTTAATTGGTATTAAATTTATGTTTCACACGTCTGTCATATTCTCAAAATAACTGCACGTTGCACGTTCCACAGGATCCATTCAGCTTCATAGAGAGAAAATGCAGGGTATCCTCTGCACATGTGCAGTGAGCATGTGGTCATCATGTTTTGACTTCCAAAGGATTGAAAGATCGATATTTCAGAGTATAATTGTGAAAGCATGAAAAAAACATTTTTTAAAAAGTTTTTTTTTATCTTTTAGTTTTGGAGAACGGCAGATTCATTTGAACGCGATAATTTGTAATTTGTTGTATAGGTATATATGAGGTGCCGAAATGACAAGTTTTTTTAAAGGTGGGGGGGGGGGGGGTAAGTGTATTTTTTCGCGTTTTGACTAGCTAATCAAATGTTGTACATGTTGTAGCACAATTTCACGAGCAGCGCGTGTGCGGCGCTCGGTGTCCCTGTGTACTTGATAGCGGTTGAAGTTGAGAGAGAAGACTTGAACTTCTCAACTTGAACTTGAGAGAGAAGAAGAAAAGTTTTGCTTTCATACCAGCCCATATACTAACCGACTGAATTGAAAACAAACCAACAAACAAGCAAGCAAGTGGCGCCCTTGAATGTGCCCTGCATGCGAAATATACGTTACTTCATCTGCTGTCGCGCAGCCAGAATTTACAAACTTATCTCGTAATAAGGAACACAACAATGGGTGGTTTTGAAATATTCGTTTCACCTAAACGACACCAGCAAGGCTTCGCACTCAGGGCCACAGTTTAGCCTGCTCATGCTATCCGCCAAAACTTGGGGCCCTATTCACTGAGGTTTGCTACTAAGCATGAACGATGCATGTGTAACTAAGCGTTTTGATCGGGTTATTTGCACTTTCCTGGACACTTCAGACATTCGCACTTTATATATCATATTAGGTTTGTATTATTATTTTTTTTCTGAAACGGCGAGTTTTGTGTTGAATGGCGCATAGATGTGCATGGCAGTTTGATTTTTTTCCCAGTCGGTGTATCAAGATTTCTTAGTACTTACTGGCTAAATTTTTCCCAACGGGAAGCATACGTTGGTTCCTGCATCGCGCCTATTCTAATTAACTTGTGCTCCGAAAAAATAGGTTGTCACTTTTTCTACATAACTGTATATAAGCAATGTTGCTACGTAGATAATCCCGTGTTCAAGAACTACGCACCCGAAAAGCTTTATCTTTCAATGTTTGTAATGCTCTTCACCTTTTTGAACAATGCTTGAAGAAGAATGCATTACTTCATGTAGAGAAGGGAGAGAGGGATTGGCCGGGAGAGCATGCCTCTAGCCCGCTATTCCTCATTGGTCTAAAGGCGAAATGGAGAAACAGAGAGGGATGGTGAGAGATGACTATGAATTAGTTAATGTGGGCACGTTGTATTGTGCGCTGACGCTCTATACGCGTAAGACCCTTCACATCACAGCACATGATCCAGAGACGAAAATCTAATCCTGTGTCGCCCAGACTGTTCAATTGGCACTAAACCTCTAAAGATAGCATACTTTCGGTCAGAAAAGAAATACATTGTGATTCTTAAGCATCAAACCTTGCTTCACAGCTGGTCATCCAGCTGTGTACCGGTTTTACATATGCACATGAAGAAGACGAGCTGCTTTCGATCATCCCAAACTCTTTAATACAGTAGTTTTAAAGGACGGTTAAGGAAGAGTAGTTTTGAACAGCGTTTTGAAACAACAGTTTTCAACAGCAGTTTCACTTCATCGATTGAGCTCTTTCATAAGGAATCCAACTAACTGAAATGCAAGTTTGCATGCCTCACGCACAACCAGTTTCAGATTTTTTGGAAGATAGATCGAATTCGTCTGCTATTTTGATATCATTTGACTTTTGCTCATTTGAGAGTCAAAAGTGATGACTGCGTACTCACTCATTTTGCTCAGAACATATACACAACTCTCAGCACATATTTGTGCGCTAATCGTGTAACGAGCTTTCCTTCAAAGTAGATCTTCGTTTGTCATTTTGATGACTAGTAGGCGTCAGTCACTGATTACTGCACTCGCGTAGCACTGCTAAGTAGGGGCGCAGCCAGGCTTTTATTTCGGGGTGTCTGACTCTCTATTTGGGTATCCCTGTGGGTGCTTGTATGTGTATATGTGCATACAAACTGAAAATATTTGGTGGCGGAAATCTAACCCCCTTTCTGGCTACGCCTACGCTGCCGATTACTATATGCACTATGTGCAACACGCGCCACGTCCTTGTCCTCATAATAGCGTCACTTCGAGTGCAAGCGCAGGGTGGTTGAAAACGACTTGGCGGCCTGCAGGAAGATGCTGGACGAGGAGGATGACCTGTCAGAAGTGCAACCGGATGCGGTGCCCAATGAAGTGCGAGAATGGTTGGCGTCCACCTTCACGCGTCAAGCGGCAACGCAGAGGAAGCGGTCGGAGGACAAGCCACGGTTTCGTTCTGTGGCCAACGCAATCCGGGCAGGCATTATGGTTGAGAAGTGAGCACCTTTCATTATTCACCGTTCCTCGATGTCGCGAAATGCCACTACACGCGTTAGCCTGGTGAACGTTAGCGGCATGAATCAGGGTAGTTTTTTTCTCTCGTTATTTTCGTTACTGCAGCCCCTAACATATTATTACCTGAGTTCATGTTCATGCATAACTCATGATTCCAATTAAGAGACGGTACGGTTGTAATACTTGATCCAGTGGATGCACGTAGAAAAGCTTACTAATGTCGTTTTGTCAACCGAGTGGACTGTTTGCGCTCCATCTCCTTTCCGGCAGAGAGTACACGTGCCACGCCCGAACATTAAAGTCGCTTCGTTTTCAGTAGTAGCCAATACGTGCCGATCGTCTGTCTGTTGTGTACCGGCAGGCCAGTGCGAAAAAAAATGAAAGAAATAAAAGGCGAGAACTTGTTCTCGCTTTTCTTGTCATACTGTGTTCTCGACCTATTTGTCAAGGTTTCTTTTCTGATACTGAGGAGCCCGATGCTCCATTGATATTATACTTCAAAACCATTTTGCTGATATGTCAGTATTTCGGTCTCAAAACCAGGCATTTATTGTCTTTATATTTCTGTAAAAGTCACAATAAAGTTAATAATCTGTGCCAGTACTGGTGGTTTTCGTAGTCTGACTAAGACTTCCTGACACAGAAATCTCTAGTCATCAGTGGTGGATTCAGGGGGGGGGGGGGGGCAGTAGAGGCAATTGCCTTGTCCTTGAAGCCTGCGTCAGCACTCCGCCCCCCCCCCTTCCTTCTTCAGTGCTTCTCATCCACCTCCTATCACCAATTATGACAATTGAGTCGGACCACTGTGAGCACAGATTAAAATTATTTATGGTATGACGAGGTTTTGGTGCTACTAAAAACAAAATCCAGGACCAGGCGCTCCTCCGGAGTTACTTCAAGCGACCGTCCCCCTAAAATGAGTCGCTGGATCCGCCCCTGCTAGTCGCCCAACATTCTTTTATTAGCAAAACTCTGCGATCACTCTTCGATTTGCATGAAGTGCCTATCGTGCCCACAATTAACGTGGTTGTTTCGTGCTGTCAATATTTGAGAAAGCCATAGTTATAAGCCCATTCAGTTGGTCCAAGGGTTGCACCCACCAAAATATCGAGTCTTTTCCGCCTAAATGCTACCTCACACAGAACATGATGTAGCAAACGAGACCAGTGGTAAAAGGTTTTTGTCATTTTAGAAGAGAGTGCTGGTAGACATCGTGTTCTTTATTTTTATCTGTTTAGAATTTACCGACGGCTGTCAAGCTCAACGCTCCTGCAAATTCCTAATCACCTTGCAGCTTTACTCAAGGTGAGTCAATATCTTTGTTTGTTTCGGAAAGTATCTATCTTTCTCGTTTCTCGTCTGATGAACAAGTGATCTCAAACAAGAAATTAGGCACACTATACTGCAGGTTAACATTGTGAATTTGTTCTTTTGGACGCTGATTAATAGAATGAGAGAGAAGATGACGTCACTGTATTAAAAAAAGAGTAGGAACGATCACTTTGGCAAACCTTTTGCAACTCTTCTATTTACAATCCAATTCTGCAGTTAACCTTTACAATGTTGTGAATTCATTGCTAACTGGATATGTGTATTTTAGACACCGGGTATTACTGTGTTTACTGGCAGGTCTTCATAATAATAATAATAATAATAATAAAAAGGCAATGTTTGTAGTTGTCCGAGTTGATCTCGTTTTGCGATGATTCATTACTATCATATGGCCTAAATTCGCTCGCGTCGCGTGTTACATCAACCGCTTTAGTATACTTGTGATGCGCTGACCGCATATCATGAGATCGTAAACAGGACTTTAAAAAAAAGCCCCCGCTTTGATAAATCGGCGCATGTTGAAGAACGCCGCATAGCCGGCATCGATGACCATCTAAAAATAAACGTAAAGTATATATGTCCGGCGTCATCTGCTCTGCAGCGCCCCTCGTAAACCATGTCTATTTCTGACACTGTACGAACCACTAAACTTTTGTGATAACGTTGCTCTTTCCATTCGCGGGGCCGATATATCAACATATCCCAATTGTCTCCACTTTCCTTCTCTGCAGTCTGTAGACGACTGGTGTTTTGATGTGTTCAACGTGAACGAAGTGGCAAATGGACAAATCCTGCGCTATCTGACATACGAATTGTTCGGGAGGTATGGGATTGTTCATAAGTTCAAGGTGAGTTTTCTAGAACGTGACCATTTTTTTCGGAAAGCGTGAATTATCTCTACTAAACCCATGTGAAAACGTATAACACCCCTTGCGCACCAGTTTTGGAAATGAAACGTCGATATTTTTGACGCCGATGTAAAGTGCACGGTAAAATAACCTCACCGGATGACTTTCTCTTTCGCGTCGTGCACAAGGAAACCCAAGAGTGTTTTTCTTACTATTTTTCTCGTACCTGCTTTTCAAGGAAGAACTGGCGCAGCAAACGGAAGTGTGTGCAGGACGTACTGAAGAGTGCAATATAACTGAACCTGAATATAGTGAAGCGCCTGCAAATTCTTGGGTGGATTTCTGGTAGCAGCAAGCTCCCATATGAATATAAATTTTCAAAGAAAAGTGAAAATTCCTTCATACAGTTTTTACACCCTTGCTGTATATATAATATATATATATATATATATATATATATATATATATATATATATATATATATATATATATATATATATATATATATATAGGGAGGCGCTTGTGGTCTTGTGGTAGAGAGAGAGAAAGGCCTATGGAAAGTATTAACACAATAACTCTACATAAAGAAACTTTCCTGTTCTAATTTCCTTGATGCATACGCGTATACACCCCGTACTTACGTTCCACAAGGGCCATGCAAATGCCGTGATTTTCGTCATCCTGTGCCTTTATAACTAATGCGACCACGGCGCCGAATTTTCCAAATATCACTGCCCTATGATCCGAATTTTAAAAGCCCGAGAGGAAAAGAAGCGGTCATAAACAGTTTCCTGCGAAATAGCTGCAAGACAGTAAGGCCAACAGTCCATTGGCGGTTGATGAGAGACTAAGCCAAGCTCTTGAAAAGTATCCCGGGCCATCACCAGGGGGGGGGGGTGGGTCTCAGCTTTTTATGATGCAGCCAGGAAGGAACGCGAGCCCCCCAGCGCCACCCCCACCCCCCACCCCCACCATCGTATCCTTTGCCCATGGTCAACACCGTACGAGTGCTTTGCGCGTTCGTTATTGCGCACTTTCTCTTTTGCCTTCCTCGTGGTCACCTGGTTTGCTGTGTTGTCACGCAAGTTATTTCAATTGACCAAATTAGGCTCACAAAGACTGAGGAAATGAACAATGTGACAGCATTGGACGTGCTAATACACATCGGTGTGCTGTTAGGAACACGGCACCATCTTCGAAATTGTCGGAGGTTTTAACCATACTCACCCTTTCCTCAAAACAATTACCCAGAAAGCGTGTATATGTCTACGTTTCTCATTTACTGGTATATAAACATGTACCGTGCTTTTTTTTAGATATCGTCAGCAGCGCTAGAGAACTTCATCACTGCTGTGGAGCAAGGGTACTGCAAATACAAAAACCCCTACCACAACAACCTGCACGCAGCAGACGTCACCCAGACCGTCCATTACATGCTCTACTCAGCAGGCATCGGTGTAAGTAAAAAGAAAGCTAAGATACGCTACAAAGTTTTCTTGAAGTGGTCCTGAACTACTTCTGCAGTGCTTGGTAAATAATCGTACGCGGCGCAAAGCAGATGCTCCTCTGAACAGCACAACCAAACCTTAGAATTGTGCGCGATGAGGAGAGTCTATAATAACGCAGTGCGCGGTTGACACTTTATCAACTGCCCGTTTTGCCTACCTAGGTCAGTCATCACTCTCTTCGGGCCCCACCACGGCGGTCTATTGGCTAAGGTACTTGGCTGCTGACCCGCAGGTCGTGGAATCGAATCCCGGTGTCGGCGGCTGCATTTTCAATGAAGGCAAAAATGCTGTGGGCCCGTGTGCTCAGATTTGGGTGCGCGTTAAAAAACCACAGGTGGTCGAAATTACCAGAACTGTTCACTACGGCGTCTCTCATAATCATATGGTGGTTTCGGGACGTTCAACCCCACCTATCAATCAATCAATCAATCAATCAATCACTTTATTCGGAAGCACCGGCACCAGCAATGTTTCGCCATAGAGCAGATTGCTGATATTGGCCTATACCTAACACTAATCAACAGCAGCGTGTGTACCAGGTGCTATTCTTGTCACGGGGTGACGCAACGTACTGGCGCCGCACTCCATGTGGCGCTAAAATTACATAGCAGCAACACTAATGCACACCAGAATCACAGAACTAGTGGCAGAACTTGTGTCTTAATGCGCACTCGATTTCGATTACGCGCGCTGACGCAGCTTCTCTTACCTGTGTCATCCCTGTCTGTGTAGCTTCCAGCGCACTCGTCGGGACGAAACAAGAAAAAAAGTGCTAGAAGCGGGTGACATATTAGTGTAACTCTCCCGTTATGATGAATTAGAAAAAAAATTGGTGACAACCGATTTGTGAGGCAATAAGCTTTGATACTGAGGTCATTGGATGACTACTATATAAAGTGTGTCAGGAATCAGAACTACTTTGCACAATTATCACAAGCGGTTTACCTTTGTCCACGTGCTAAAAACCAACACAAAAAAATGGAGGGGGAAAGGCAGCATATCGGCAATATGCCTTCATGTTTAGTCCATATTTACAATGATAGAAGTCTGTATTGCTATAAAATATATTCGGATGTATACCCTCATATTTACACGTTTAGGATCTGGTTGACGAGACGAGCTGATATAGCGGCTTTCGGGGAAATGTACTCGAGCAGTGTGTTCTGTGGTGAGCATGTCAAAACACAGCATTAATAACTGAGTACATGGAGCAAGGGTGCTCACAGATGTGCTTGTTCTGTCAACAACGTTTATGTGCCATCAGTAAAAATCAGGTTCGTTTGATGTTGTGGGAACAACGCTACCCACTCGTTGCCCGAGACGCACCACCCGAGGTGGTATAGCAAAGTGGAAGAAAGTAACATACTGCCGCTATGCAAATAGCGGCGATTGACTCCCTGGTCGCTTGAAGAGGAAGTAAACGCTATAGAAGTTTTTAGTAACGATGAGGAAAACCTTATATTTACAGACTATACAGCATATAATACATAGTTACGAACATAAAAGTTACAAAAAAGAAAGCACTTTTGAAATTAACCGTATGTAGAGCGACCATATGGTATTCTGCAAAGTCGATGGTACCTAATACTTTAAAAGGACACTAAAGTGCAATAACAATTTACGTCAGAGTGAAAACTCAATGTCTGACAACATCTAAAACGACAATATTATCAACAACAGTGCCCTACTTACTGAGAAACTAAGGTAAATGCAGATGAACACAAGCGCCGCAGTAGGACATTTTCAAAATGATCCCGATGACATCAGACGGGCCGCCTACAATTAATCACTAGTAATCGATCTAACTGCACTAGATAAAGAACCTTACCTGCATCAAGAGACGCAATAAAATGCTGCTTGTTCGTTTCTGTTTGATTCATGGAAAAAAGAACCGCTGGACGTTACTATGGGGAATGGCGCGAGTGGTTAAAAAATTGAATTTTCGCGTGGTTACACGGGACAGGAGGTTTCATCTAGCGGGGGGCAGTTAAAAACAAAAGCGTCTGCAATCTCGAAGCCAATGGCAGGAAATTGATCAATGGGCGTTGTTGCTGCTATAGCTACCGCTGCTTTCGGTCTGCTGCGACTAGCGCAATAAAGTTGGGCAACGTTGTGCACGGCAACAGTGACGTGAGACGGTCTGGTCGGTCCGCTTCTTGAGGCGAGTAAAACGGAGGACCAAAACGCTATTTTATTTCAAAATAGGCCCTTCCTTGGCACGAAAGTAACACTACGAGGTTTCTGGACCACCATTTCAACAACCAATGTCTACTTAACAGTTGGCTTTAGTGTCCCTTTAAACCCACTTCAGAACGCTTGGCGGAACACCGGGGCCGCTTTATGTTCTCTCGGTGCTTTGCCTTTATACAACTTTCGGCGAATGGTCGCCTGTTTGTTAGGACAGTGCACTTAGCAAATCAAGAACCTACCCCGAGGTATCCACTTTCTTGCACGTGTGAGGGCTCGTGCCCCTCGCCCAAAATAACACAACAACAAAATACGGATAAAACAAAACTAAACCAAGGTCGTAGTGGCAAGGGCAAACTCAGCGGGCGCACAACTATCTAAACTTGAAGTCAGCGTTCTGAGATTTGCGGCCACAAGAAAGACACCACTGGTAGCACGTCAACTTATTGCCGACGGGACAGTAATCCGTCTGTCCCCTGTGCGCTGTGAGTGGTTTGCTCGCTCTCCGCACGCAGTTCTACCTACGAGCTAGTTCTGCTAACTTCCACCGCTGTGGTTCATTGGAACCAGCCTGAAAGGAGTAACGCGAAAAGAGCCGAAGGTGTGCCAGTGCGACAGCATTCATAAAAGGTGCTGACCGGGCGCCCGTTTCAACGCGACGTGGGCCACGCTTTCCCGTGTCGCAAGCCCAACCGCTTCTGAGAGCTACCTGAAGCACACCGGATAGTGACTTCAAGTCGCCGGCGATCCAACGGTGTCGCAGCGCACGCCTCCTTGTCTCGGCGGCGACCTTTAGGCGCGTGAACAACAAACGGTCGGGCCGTAAGCTGAACCGATGCGAGGGGTCATACTGCCACGCTGGGTCCCGGAAGAGCGTCATTCATGCGCAGGCCGAAACTGCCGTGAGCCAATCAGGGGGTTGTCACAATGACGTTTCCCTCCCTACCCTTTTGTCGCCCACGTGGTGGTTGGTTCGTTTGTACTGGGCTAACAGACACTAGAAGCGCTCGGTAATCTCAGGCGCCCTAGCACTTCGTGAAACGCCGTGCGGCCACCATGGTGTCTACGGTCAGGGCTGAACTGGTCGCACACTGACTGATTGCCGTCAAATCAATGCTGCGTGCCGAATAAAATGCAGTGCAACGGCTGACATGCCTTCCCAAGCTTGATGCACAAAATAAATAAAACTGCCGTGCACCCACTTCTTAAAGCGATCCTACACTGTCTCCCTCTCTTTTTTTTTTGTACCCGGCACTTCATACCGGAAATCTATAGCACGTGTTCGGATAGTCAAGATCCAGCCGTCACCTTTCATGTAGTGGTTTCGTGTCCTGCCCCATAACTCTCTTTCTCATTCCCCTTCCCCATACCAACTGGAGAGGCTAGGGAAGAGTACCTGCTCTACCTTAGATGCGCAACGCTCCTTGGTAGCGCGTGCCCAGGCAGCTGCCATCTCATATGGTGTCCAGGACTAGGAGCTGCCACTAAGGTGCACAGAAACTCTCTAGTCATTTCAGCATAAAATGTTTACCACCACCACCATCTACATACCACAGGCCTGGCTATGCTCTGTAAAGAGTGCACCGCCACTAGCGTACTCATGCTGTGGCGAAGCTGCCTAGTCCGCTGCCTGTGGTGTGGCTAATTTTTTTTCTGGTGCATCAAAAAAAATTAAAAAACGGGCTGTTTGTGAGTGAAGAAACTTAAAATTCCTAAGCATAGTGCAAAATTTTCATGGTGCTCTATCTATCGGCGGCGCTATCAAACGACCGGCTGCTCGCTATGCTCTGTTTATGTAGCGCGTAAGTATGCATAATTAGTTATACCAATCTACTCAACATTTTTTATTTCAATAAGACAGACTCAATTAATGATGTAAAAGCATTGCCTATCACTATTGATAATAGAAGAAATAACTACGAACAAACATCTGTTCTTTCCTTTTACTATACACTTATTTCTTTTCTGTCTCTAATTAACTGTGCTGTTTTTTGTCATGTTACTCAATAATATGTACGAAATTTATAAAATCTTCTTGTTTTTTTTTCAAACATCAAGACCTAAAATAACTTTTGTGTGAACTAACGAGTTATTTTTTTAGATCTGTCATATCTGAGCACACATTCTACGGAAGTTTTTACCAGTGAAGTGAGAGCAGCTAATAGCAGACAGTTGGTATATTGCAGTTGCATAGATTGTAGTGAAGCAATTGGAGCAAGAGCCAACTCGGTGCTGGACTTTTCAGTATGGCATAGCTGTACTTCACTCAACCGACAGGCACTAGTAAAAAAAAAAGGTGGTTGGCCCTCACTGGCAACACATTTGCTCTAAATTGGCCGCTGTTGGTGTAACCCATTACCCAGCAAGTTTGAAATAGATCGTCGCAAATCTAGAATTGGTATGTTAAGCTTTTGGCTCTGCTCCAGTGGGTTTTTCCAAAAAATAAAAAGTCTATTTGTCCAACTGGACATTTCATTTGTAGCAATGGGCACCAAGTGGTATGAATTCTGGAAACCAACAGGGAATCTTGCACTTCAGTGGCATAGCCCAAATGGACTTGATAGTTCCCATTGGCCATGACAGTTGGTGTATAATGTTTCAATGGGTCTCTTTATTGCAAAGATGGATAGTCCAGTCAATGACACAATGACATTTGGGGTCAACCAATTGTAACATTGCTCTTCTGATCATGATATTTGAACATCATCACTAGTCCACTTGGTAATAAGTATTTGAGTTTGGCATTTTTATGTAACCAGTTG